ACACATACTTCTGGGGGTAAATCTAGGACCTGGAGTGTGTTGGGCTTACCCTGCAGTGTAACCCAGGCTGGTAAATGCAAAGCTATGGCTGGCTGGCTGGTTGGCTGCACCACATGCACTGACATAGCTAGGAATGACCTGCATGTGGAGGCTGTTTGTAAGCAGTCCATGCTAGAGGCTACAGCAGCCAAGCATTGTAAAGGGCACACTTGGGGTACGTCTAGACTACAGGCTTTTGTCAACAGAAATTTTGTCAACAGATACTGTCGACAAAGCTTCTGTCGACAAAGAGCATCTAGACTACATCCAGTTCCGTCAACAAAGCAAGCCGCTTTGTCGACATGACAGTGTAGATGCAAAGGACAGTGTAGATGCAATAATGCCTTCTGTCGACAGAACTCTGTCGACAAAAGGAGTTATTCCTTGTAGAATGAGGTTTACAGACGTCGTTATGTCGACAGAACTCAGCAGCAGTGTAGACGCAGGTATAGTTTTGTCGACAAAAGTTCACTTTTGTTGACAAAACCCTGTAGTCTAGATAGACACACCCTAGGTTAGAGGGCAGGAGTGACTCAGCTACTCATTAGTCTGGACTGTACCCTGGTAGGTCACACGGCATAGCTGGGAGGTTTCAATGGGTAGGGTTTGTAAAGCATTTTGAGATCTTTGGATCCCAGACTCTACAAAAGTAAAATCGCTATTTGTTAAAGATCTGCCCATGAGCAGTAGCTTCCATTCAACCACTAATCTCTCTGCTTGGCAATGGAAAATGATTCTCCCATACTACCAGGAGAATGCCAGGATCAAAATACTTAGGCTTCATCTACACTGCAGGGTTTTTGCGCAAGAAGCCTTTTGTGGAAGAGCTCTTCCGCAAAAACTTTGTGCGCAAAAGAGTATCCAGACCTCAAAGCGCATTGCAAAAGCAATGTATTTTTGCACAAGAGAGCATCCACACTGCATGGACGCTCTTGTGCAAGAAAGCTATGATTGCCATTCACAGAATGGCCATCAAAGCACCTGTGCTTTTGCCAATAGGGGTTTCTTGTGCACAAACCCCTCTAGAGCGTCTAAACCTGCCTTTTGTGCAAGAGCTGTAGCACAAAAAGGAGTTATTCCTCGTGGGGAGAGGAATAACTCTACCGGAAAAAGCCCTCTGTTCTGCCGATTTACTTGCGCAAAAACATGCCTGAGGTGTGGATGCTCTGCCGGATTTTGCGCAAAAACGCAAATCTTGCAGTGTAGATGTAGCCTTAGTGAGAACACAATGTTGTTAAATGGAAAGTTGTATAGAAATTGGAGTTTCACTAGAAGACAGCATCAAATCTGAAACCACACAAAAATTCTAGGAGAGGAGGAGTTTAAATTTAATCTGGCTTTACTGCCACAGCAGACACACAAATCTATTTACTCACAAAGAGCCCAGTGTGAAATTTGTGCCAGGGTTTCTTATATCCCAGATGAATAAGGATTCATTCCCATGACTCCTAGTATCTATTTTCTCCTGAAGTTCACCATGTCTGTTTTGTTCGTAGCCTTTGAACTCAGCTTGGTTTGTGCCAGAATTCCAGTCGGGTGTTTTGATGTGGAATGTGTAGCTATTTATAGTAGTTACAAATAAAATGTTGAGATGGGAAAAAGCAAGGAATTTGAACATCTGAATTATATACCAACTGCACTGCTAATGCAAAGCAGTGATAATATGCTCTTCCTAAGCTCTTTCCTTATTAATGGCGGGTGTTTATCAAAGTCTGAAGGAACCCCTTCTCCCCAACTTCCCTCCTCACGCAGGCCCTTGCAACAACCATTTCTTCAAGCCAGAAGACTCTCAGTTAAGTTCAATCGGGGCTCTCATTTCCTTCTTGCATCTGAGCATGCTGCAGCCATACTATTCCCAGCCAGTGCTAATGTATTAGCAATAGACAGCTCTCCCGGATCTTCCTCTTTTCGGTCATTGTAAAGGGGTCTGTATAGGGGTCCATACCCCTCTCTGGGCTCTCGGCCCCTCCCCCCACCTTCTTTAGTCAATCACACACCCACCAGGGATGAGTTGAATGCCTTTACTGTACAGGCCATGCTCTCAGTCTGCATTAACTGACGCACCTCCGCGCCTCTATTACCTCCCCTCGCCTCCTCGCTTCAGGGCGGGGAGTAGGGGGACCCGGGCTTGCCCTCACCTCCAGGTCCCAGCCCAGGGCCCTGGGGAAGGGGAGATGTCATTCTCTCCTCTTCCTGTGATCAGTGGGGACACCACCCGAAACTCACTGACCCACGGGCCAGTAGCCCTGCCCTGGGCTCCTTCCTACTCACCCTCTTAAGCGCCCAGGCTAGCGCTTCACAGCCCGAACGCACCTTCTGACGGCCGCTCTCCCGCAGTTACACCCCGTCCCCTGGAGCCCAGTCCCTCCCCCTGACCGGAGGGTGGCCGGTTTTAAATCCGGCACTCCTGGGTCGGCGCTTCCCCCGAGCGTGCCCACGCCTTCTCCTCATCCCCCCACCCATTGACATCAAGGGCGGGGTCTCTCGCAGAGCTTACAGCCGCTCCTGCGCCTGCACCGGCCACAGCGCCTTTTCCCCAGCAGCTTCCCCCTCTGGCGGCGCATCCCAGGCCGCGTTAGCAACGCCCATGGCCCTGGCGCTGCCGCCGCTGGCGTTCCCCAGATGAGCCGGCGCTCCCTGGCTCTCCCTGCTTCGTGGAGCCCCCAGGCGGGGGGGTGCGGAGTCCGCCAACTCCATCACAGTCATGTATCAAGATTTCATAAAACTATTAGGTCATGATACTACCTCCTCTATTAAAAGTTCTAGAATTTTCTTTGCTGCCAGCAAAATTGTTACAGACTGTAAGATTCACCCCCTCAGCCATCATGAGGCCACAAATCCTGGATCCAGCTTCTGCCAAGTTCTGAGAATGACAGATTTGGGCTGATCTGCTCCTCAACAGCCGTTGCCCTCCAAGTTTGTGGCAATGACAAACATCGGCCAATTCAGACTCTGATCAAATTCCCATCTTCAGGACTGGGGCCTGACATTTTTTGTTAATCAAGGCCACATTTAGACTGAATCCACCCCAGGGCATAGGGGAATTAATTGGCTCCTTCCCATGACTTATTACCTCTATTTTTATTACAGCATTTATTATCATTATTTTATGACTGTTACTAAACTGTTGCCATTCTTTCCTCTCACATTCATTACTATTGTTTATGATTATTCTAAGTGGTAACTATTTTTTTCCTTATAGAATTTTATCACTGTGACAGTGGCTTATTACAGCAATTTTCAGGAATATAAAGAAGCCCTGATCAAGACAAAGTGGAAGACTTGTGACCAGGCAGGAGACATATTGTGTCTATTATTGCTTTAAAATAACTCAGATGGTTTTTATTAAGGGCTATTAAGGTGACAAGATGTGGACAAGTACAGAGATTTTTATATGCTTATTTGGAAAGGGGTTCCCAGATCTTCAGCAAATTTCAGAGAGATCTGGGCTCTCATAGACTCATAGACTTTAAGGTCAGAAGGGACCATTATGATCATCTAGTCTGACCCCCCTTACTACAGAATAGAATAATTTAGTCTCTTTTATCCAAAGGATCCCTACATGATTGAAAAACCGTACAAACTATGGGCTACAAGTTCAGGCTTGTCTCAGCTCTTCTCGTGTGCCTGAGGAAAGAGGAGAATCATAGGAGCCCTTCTGACCTGTGATCTTTAAGGCAGCCTGGAGCTAGTTCATCTCTTGGCACACGCAAGAACAGAGTCAGGGATCTTCTAACTTGGAGAATGTGGAATGAGCTCCAGGGAGTGTTCCATTAGCCCAGGGTTGCCACCGCATAGCACAGCCTGATATGCCCCATTCTGACCCAGCATGCCTCCAGGATCACCACTGCACTGGAGGGGACAGCCGGGAACCTACTCGGACTTGATGCCCTTGGGATGTGTCTATATTGCACCTGGGAGTTGTGATTCCCAGCTCAGGTAGACTTGAACTAGCTCAGCTCAAGCTAGTGCCTAAAAACAGCACTGTGGATGGGGCAGTGGGATGGTGATAGCTCAGGCTAGCTGCCTAAGCTTGGATCCAGGGTGCTGGCTGGGCAGCTCGTCCAGGTTGCCACCAGAGCTGCAATATCCCCCATGCTATTTTAGGTACCAGATTGAGCTGTACTGTGTTAGGCAGCATCTGCGTTCCACGCCAAAGGATCATTTTAGAAGTGGACAGAATGGGTCTATTTCTATCCCATCATCAAACATACAATCAAAGCACTGTGTTACACAGCAGGGTGGAAGGTATTATCTACATGTCGGATCATTGTAACAGTTTACGACAGCGAAGATATTAATGGTTTGAGGAGAATATTAGTCAGCAGACTGAATTTCTCCACAGTGAAATAAAGCCAAGAGTGTGGGTGTTCTGCAAAAATGTATGAAAAATTTATGGTGTGACTAGTAAATAAATGTGTTGGTCTTGTCTTAACCCCATCTGCATGCCTCCACACTGTGTGGAAAGGCAGTCTCTCACTGCTCCAAAAAAACTGCAAGCCAGAGCCAATAAAGGCATGACAGAGAGGTTTGTGAGGGAAGAAGTGCAGATCTAGACTAACAGATGGGTTGCAGGTCAAGATATGGAAGTTCATTGAGACGTGCGTGTGAGGAGCCTGAAAGGAGAGTTGCAGGTTGGGCAATTGGAGTTGCAGTGACTGGGCTGTGCAGGGCTGAAATGATAAGCTGGAGCTGTAGGTCTGCGTTAAGGCTCTTGGCACAACATGACAATGGGAGTGGTGGCAGGGCTGGAGTAGCGGGAGTCTGTGCATTCACTGAGAACCCCCAATACCCTGTTGGAGAAACAGAAAGCTAAATGAATGGAGATCCTCCCAATGCACACAAACTGTTCTTCACTAACGGGGCATGGCAACACAGGGATGTCGGGGTAACGGGAACCAAGGGGCCTCAGTATAAAAAGGCAGCCTGGCCCCTGGTTTTGAACCAGGGTAGTGTGGTACCTGTAATGCCTAGTGTCCCGAATAGGCCGGTCACTGCTGAGTTTTTCACTCTCCAGCTGGTTGAAAGCATGTTGTCGGTATGGGTCTTCGCCAGCCTTCAGCAGCTTAGAGGACAGGTAAGCCTTTTCATCAAAGCCCCTCAGGCTGCTCTTCTCTGCTTGGGGGGCTCTGGTCACCTAGAACAGATGAAAGGGTCAGAGCATGTAAGAGCGGAGCAGACTAGCTTGTCAGAAGTAAATTCAGTGAGACACAATTGCACACGCAGTCATGTCACGGAGAGTATTTCTATATGAGGAGCAGCAAGGGGTGATTCTCAGCTTGAGGAGACAGACCTGTGCTTGCAGACAAAAACACAGAGCACAGCACAACAGACTGGAGAGGCTAATCGCCCTGAACATGTGCTTAGCATTTCAGACGTGTACAGATTCCGGGCAGCCAGTTGCACTGCCGTAGCTTCATTTTATTAGTAGCATGCTAGGTGAGTCAGAGCTCACATGAGTATGTCTCCTCAAGCTGGGTCTCATCTCCAAGTGCACGTACTCCTACTGCACCCTGGCAGATGCACACATACCATGGTGATGAGCCCCATGTAAGAACCTGAACAGAAGTCTTGTCAACACTATGACTCAGAATTGACATATCAACAACACTTCCCACTTGGGTTGAAAATAGTTTGGCTGCTAGTGTAGACGGGGCCAAATCACGTTTAGTACCTATTACATAACCTGTCTGCCTGGAAGCTCTCCCTGCTCACAGGGGAGATGGTTTTGCTAGCAGGTTCCAGCTGACACGGTCGAAGAAAAACATTTGTTGAAGTAGGTGAGGAAACCCGTTGATGAGACAGTTGTCAATAATGGCTGCTACATTTACATGAAGTGACTGTAATGCTGGGATTCAGGGTCTAAAATTCCCTTCTCTCTGTTCATGGAGCAGATTTCACCTCTTTCTCTATTAGGGATGTGAAGAATTGGACGCAGGCAGGGGGCTGGCGCAGCCCTCACCTATACTGGGCCCCATCTGGTGTGCCATGGGCAGCGGTGCTCCAGCCCAACCAGAGCAGCCGTGGCGGGCCCTGCCCAGCCAAAGCAGTGCCACAGTGGGATGTGCTCTAGCTCGGCCAGAGCTGCTCCCTCCCACAGCAGGCCTGTCCCAGTGTGCTGCAGGCAGGGGTGCTCCAGCCCAGCGGGAGCAGCCACTGCCCACGGTGGGAGTGGCCCCTCCAGCCCAGCAGCAGCTCCCCCCACCTGTCCTCATGTAAACAGTTAAAGATGATGTTTAACAGTTAACTATTAAATGGGATTTTACATCCCTATTCTCTATGCAGCAATCTTAGTTATTTTATGGCCCTCCTTACCATAGGAAATCTCACAATCTTCAACAGCACCCATGCAAGCACAGAGGAAGTCGGTTGCAAAGCAGGGAATTGAACTTCTGTCTCCTGAGTCCTAGGCCAGAGCCTTTATCATTGAGCCATGTTCCTTCACAGTATGTAAAAGTTTTTTGGTTTTAATACAATGTACATATTTAAATTGGCTTGCTTTGCCATGACTGTAGATTACACACTTACATGTCCCACACAGTGCAGTATCCACATTTGACAACTACGAATAGAGACACTGGAAGTGAGGCAAGATAAGGACACAGCCTTAGCCCCCACCTCCCACTGAAATACATTGGAGGACACCGATTTTTAGTTGAAGAGACCAAACACTGGTGAAATATTTGCTTAAAACCACAAAGGGACGATTGGTGTCTGTGCAACATAAGGGCTATGTCTACAGCCGTTTTTGCGCAAAAACTTGTGGAGCACGCACACTACAAGCCCGTTCTTGCGCAGGAAAAAGTACAGTAAAATGTCAGAACACAGGGCTTTTTGTGCAAGAGTTATTCCTCTCCCCATGAGGAATAAGTCTTTTTGCGCAAGAGCTCTTGCGCAAAAAGGCATATGTGGACAGGCAAGAGGGGTTTCTTGAGCAAGAAACCCCTATGGCTAAAATGGCCATCAGAGCTTTCTTGCGCAAGAGAGCATCCACACTGCCATAGACACTCTTGCACAAAAGCACATGGCAGTGTGGACACGCTCTTGCACAAGAACTTTTTGTGCAAGAACTCTTGCACAAAAAGTTCTTGCACAAGAAGCCTGCAGTGTAGACGTAGCCAAGGATTTTAAGAACCAGAACAAATGGCACACAGCAGCAGAGTCTGACAGCATAAGCCATGCCAGGCACACCTAGAGTTAATGGGCAAACAGACGTCTCTGCTTCTGTGTGAAGAAGTGATGGAGATCTGTAGGATCCCAGCTCTGTGTGGGAAACACAGAAGGGAGGAGTCTATGGCAACATTCCCATTGTCTCCTAATCCCACAGAGGTGAGTGGTCCACATATCCTGAGGCCCCTGTGTACACTAATTCTGATTTCCTCAGTGGTAGTATTGATCAGGTTTCTCCTTCGGCAATGTGACTCCCTTTTAGAAGGTTTCTGAAAGCAACAGCTTCTGGAGTAGTCCGTAGTGGCACAGCTATTGCATGAATTGGGCTGCCATACTGGTGGGATGGGAAACAGCAGAGGTCTAAAATATCTCCAGATCCTGGAGGATGCTGAAGATTTAGGCAGCCAAATTTCCTGCCATTTCCAAAGAGAGGCAATCCCAAGATTTCAGCCTGTCCTGCAAGAGCTAGGTGATTGGGCAACATGATGATAAATGAAATTCAGTGTGGACAAGTGCAAGGTAATGAACAGTGAAAAGGACCAATTGAATTACTCATGCACTCCGCTAGATTCTAAATGGTCTATGACAGCTCAGGATAAGGACCTGAACCGCACCTGTGGACCACTCGAGGAAACCCTGCACTCAATATGCAGAGCTGGGAAAATGAAGCAACATATTAGGGTATATGAAGGATGAGCCAGAGAATACTGATACTACTGAAATGCCACATAATTAATGTAATTTTTGTCAAACCAGTCTCCAAAAGGATATACAGTTTGAATGTCTCTAGTCAGGCATTCTCTGGTCTGTCAACATCCATGGTCTGGCATGATTTTAGTTAGCTAGATGCCCATTTCTCATGGATGTGACCAAGTTTCCCGCAGTCCCAAAAAGTTTGTTTACAGCCACTGGTCTTGGCTTTAGGTATTCTGTGCTGTTATTCAATTCTAATATACCCCTAAATGTCCTCTAACAGCCCAGTAAGCAGTAATGCTGCTAGACAATATAGACCTCCTGTGGTTTGGTAAATTCTCTGGTTCAGCATTGGTCAGGTCCCAAGGGTGCCAGACTAGAGAGATTCAACCTGTAGTAGCGACAGAAAACGTTCAGAGATAGATGACAAAAATTATTACAGGGTTGAGGAGAAGTTACAAAGATTAGGACTATTTAGTTTGGAAAGGAGAGGAAAACAAGGAATGCTAAAGCAAAGGTCAATCAGTTTCTCAGATTTCCTTCTCTCATACTACAGGAGCAAGGGGATGTTTGATAATATTGAAAAGCAATGCACTTGCCAATAAAAGGAAATACTTTTGAAATGAAATGCATAGTTGCGTGGTGGAACTCATTGTCAAAAGATATAATTGCTTCCAAAAGCCTAATATGATTTAAAAAAAATATTAGGTATGTATATAGTCAGCTTCATGTCTTTATTCTCCAGCACTAATCTCATGCTCTTGGATTTTAAATGCTAGAAAGAAAGTTTTTACTAGTCATAAAAACATAGATTTTTTTTTCTTTTTTAAATTTCCATTCCTATTAGGGTTGGTAAATCTCACAAACTCCCCAAGAACATAGCTTATGTTCCCGGCACAAGCTGTCTGAGCATGTCTCTTTAAATGTTCTGCAATCACTCCATGTCCCTCCAAGAGTTAGTTTTACACTTCCAAGCCCTGGGAGAGTAACAGCTGCTTTTATTCTCTAGAATAATAGATGCAAGAACATTGCACATGCTTCTGGCAGTAGTAGCAACCATTTCAGAGCCATTTACTTTAAGGATAAATGGCTACAGCTAACTCATCCAGAAATTATGGGCCTCATATTATTACTTTTTAAATATATTGTACAAATAAAAACATTTTGAATGTTTTTAGCCAAAATTGTTTCCAGTTTTCCGTCCTCAGTCAGTATCTTTTTATCCCCAACATAACGGTAAGAGTCTGATTATGTATTCTTGCACAACCAAAACTTCTGGGGAAATGAATAGGTGTTCTCCTCTCCCACCAACTTCAGTAGGAGCAGAAGCAGATCCTAAATTAGTAAGATCAGAAAACCCCATTGAAATATAATTACATTTGACTTCATTCGTCACCCCCAACTTAAAATGAACACTGAAGCAAAATCCGGAGGTTCCAATATTATTTGCATAATACTTTACATTGTTTCATATGGCCTTCCCTTAGTACCTCTTGAGGCTCACCACCTGTTAACACACAGACAGAGTGGAAGGTTCGCATGTCCCCTTTCCAAATCATAGCTTGGCTTTGAAACTGACATGCTAGACTCTGTCTATTCTGTTTTTATTATAAACATTTGAAGTCAATTTAGAACTGATAATTGTCAGTGCTGGAGACTGAACGTATGTCTCCACTGCACACACAATCTTGGGAACTTGTGTTTTCAAGCCTGCACTTGTGCATCCACACTGCAATGGAAATTCAGGCCTCACAACCATACTGACATGTCCATATTGCACTCCAAAAGCCAGAATCAGAACTTCAGCTCTATGAGTGTTTACTATCTTCTCCTAAGGTTCCTAGTGTCCTCTGCTGAAGACCCTCCACAGTGAGTGGTCAGAGAACGTGCCCACAGAAACTGGCTGCAATAGTTTTGGGTGGTACTAGACCACAATCTGAGGATGTAAAAGACTAGCTGACTAGTCAACTATCCGATAAGCATTTGCTTATAGGATAGTATTTTGACTTGACTAGTCGATATTGCCCCCCCACACACACACTTTGCTGCCTCTATAAGCCGCGGGTCAGCTGTGCGGTGGCTGCCCCTTTAAGATGCTGCCTGTGCGCCTTTCAAAGGAGCATTTGTGGAGCCCAGGATCAGCTGGGGACTCCCCGCAGCACTTCCCCAGAACCCGAGATCAGTTAGGGAGTCCCCAGCTGACACAGGGTTCCAGGGAAGTGCTGCATGGAACCTGGGGTCAGCTGGGGACTCCTCAGCTGACACCAGGCTCCT